GGCGTTACACACTGCGCATCGCAGCTGACCACCTCAGCCCTGAGCGGCAGCGGCGTTACACACTGCGCATCGCAGCTGACCACCTCAGCCCTGAGCGGCAGGGGCGTTACACACTGCGCACTGCAGCTGACCGCCTCAGCCCTGAGCGCAGGGGTGTTACACACTGCGCACTGCAGCTGACCACCTCAGCCCTGAGCGGCAGGGGCGTTACGCACTGCGCCTCTAACCAGCACCCTGTGTCGACAGCCTGTTCTTCATTTCATGTTTCAGAAATTAATTCCATTTCTCAGTTGCTCTCTCTGAATGGTAATTTCCAGACTTCTCATTTTGTATGTTTCATTACAGAGACACAGTCAGTTACCCGCCCTGGACTTTGCACTGCGTTACAGGCCAATCCAGGAAGGTAACACCTAACACTGGGACAGAGACGTGTGAATGGCAGATAGAATCACTGGCAAATACCCTCTTCAGAATGAGGGTCGCAGCCTTGTTGTTCAGATAACATACACTAGAGGGCACCGCAGTCCATTCAGACAACTTTGAGAGCGACCTGCACAGCATGACGGGCAGAACAGAAGAAGAGGACACTGAGTGCCCCTGTGCCAGTTTGTTTCGTCTGTATGACGGGACACCAGACAGACAGTAGACGCAGACTCACACACGCACACAGAGGCCTGGAGGCCCACAATCACAGAGCAATCAAGTCCCCAGTGAAGGAGCCAGAAAATTATGACGCAGCATCATTGCCATGGAGATGTGAGGTTGTCTTGGTGACAGATGCTCACCTTGAGGTCCCTGTGCACGATGTCATGCTGGTGGATGTGATTGACGCTCTCCAGAATCTGATTGATACACTGGCTGCGCAGAGGGACAGGAGGAGATCCACTGTTTACTGGCAGCCACAACAGGCACTGATTTTTCAAATGAACGGCAGTAAACGCCACCACCCCCCCTCCCCCACCCCCCAGCTGCCTAGCGTATCTACCCGGCAAAGCAGCCACGGTTCGAGCGCCCGCGATGCGTTTACCACCTGGCTCCCAAGGGTCATGACCTCACTGGCTGTAAACAAACTGGGCCTGAAGCAGAGCTTCATGTCGCCGCGGCTCGGACACGTTTGACCTCGGGGCAGACGGCTGCACACAGCGGCGTGGCCCCGCCCTCCTGGCCACGCACGGCCCGCCATTGGCTGGTGATTTATACAATCACCCCCTGAGTGTGCCTCGGTTACGTCACAGGACGCTGGAATGGGGCGATGGGGGAGGGGGCCGCTGAGGCCCTCAGGACGACAGTAAGGAAGGGGGCCTTGTTCTCGCTCCCCTTTTTAAAAGCCACATTAACAAATAAATAAAAAGGACAGCAAGCACCCAGCTCCACCCCACTGCGAGAGGAACATGACAGCCTCATTCAGTCTGCAGACCGGGACGCGGGACGCAGGAGGCTGGGGGGGGGAGGCTCGGTGAATAATGACGGGGTGAGAGGAATAGAGGACGAACGGGGGAGGGTGGGGCCGCAACCAGGGGAAAAACTGCAACTTAAATATAGCCCCGCATGTTCCCCGTCAGGAACGAGGAGAATAGTATTTATTGTGTCCAAATTTGGCCAGTTCAGAGCCTGGCCTTCCATTCCAGTGGCATCGTGCTCGGCTCGGGACAGCGGGCTCTCCCTCCCCCCCAGGCCGGCGCCCTTAATGTCTCGCACTGGAG